TAGGGAGAGTCCGAATGCTACGAATGTCAGCCTAAACCAGTACAAAAAACATATCCAGTCTGTACGATTCGGAGCACCCCAAGTAGTCCTATTCATTGTATTGTTTGGGCAAAAAGTTATCTTTTCAGGTAGATATAGTATTTTATTTGAAATTACTGTTATTGATTTTCTCGGTCTAATAATCGCTTCAGTCAATTATTCGGAATACCTGAAGATGAAGAATTGGAACAAGAGATTATGGACGAAAATGGTGGGAGTTTGCGTATGTAATGAATATCACGTTTCGACGATTGTTAATGTATTATTATATTTGCAGCCGAAGAAATAGCTAATCTCAAAAAGGAAACACAAGAGCTCAAATATATAAGAGAATCAATGGGCTCGCAAGATTATCCTCGAATAGTTTTTCAAAAGGTATTTACAAAAGATATTAATCGGTTGCTAATGATGGAAGATATGTGGAAAACACGGAAGCCACCAGAACCCCTTGTTTATGAGGATATAGAAAAACTCAGAAACGAAATCGAAGCTCAGTCAAATTCTGGTGATGATATTCACACATTGAAAGATCAAATACTATGGAGTCTTACAGAGAATTTCACCGTCTTTCTAGATAGGTCTGATAACATGATGATGATATTCCATAACTATTATATTGTGGTTTTATATTAACTTCTGTGCTTCCGAATTACCAGCATCCGAAGATTGAGTGCGCGTTTATTAAATGAAAAGAAAACTAATCCCAACGCTTCACTTACATTTGACAAAGATGACACTGATGCCTTAGACTTTGTGACTGCAACGTCAAATTTACGTGCAAGGGTGTTTGGAATCGAGGAAAAAACAAAATTTCAAGTGAAAGGTAGTTTAATCCGTATTATTCAGACTTATGAAGAAATATTGTAACCTTACTTTTATTGTCATCTTAGCGATGGCCGGAAACATTATCCCCGCAATTGCAACGACAAATGCTATTGTTGCCGGGCTGATCGTAATGCAAGCTTTTAAAATCTTAAATGGAAAGACGCATGAATGCCAGACTGTGAGTATGAATAATGATATTTCATTTAGACTATTTTTTCTTTTATAACATTTACATATACTTTTTTATAGGTATATTGTGCACCTGAAAGGCGACCATTGCCCATTTTATCAGAATCTTTGATGAAGCCTAATCCTGAATGTTCAATCTGTCAGAACACGCACGTTACCTTGAAAGTAAACACAAAGAAGGTAACTTTACGAGATTTTCTTGAGAAAGTTGTACAAAGTCAAGACGAAGGTGGAATGGATATCGATGAAGCATTAGTTGAAGAGGGTGGAAGGTAATAATGTGTCGTGCTTTGACTTAATGAGA